CAATGTTATTATTAAAGGGTTATCTACATGACAGATATAGATGTAAGTAGAATGTTGTTTTCTTTATAAAACAAAACACCATTAAAGCATTGTAAACAGTATTCTTTATAAAATAAATATTTTTGAAAGAAGCCAAAACTTAAAAACTAAATGTTATAGCTGTATTAAGTAATTCACTTGTGTTAATAATAATTTGTAAAATAAAAAGGTTTAAATGATTCTACATACCAAAAAGTACACAAGCATGATTCAAAATCTCTAATAAGCAGCTGTAGAAAATCGTAGAACTTCAGTAATTTATTCAAAACGTACCGGTACCATTTGAAAAATATTGAAACATGATGTCGAAAAATTCTTTTGTATAGAGTAACGTACCTCGGATAGCTTAATAACAGACTCATATTCCAGGAAAAGCAAGCATGTTCGGTGACGTGACTCGCGAGTCTCGTATCTTAACCACTAGGCCTTTAATTTGTATAGGGTAACGTACCTCAGATAGCTTAGTAACAGAGTCATATTCCAGGAAAAGCTAGCGTGTTCGGTGACTTGACTCGCGAGTCTCGTATCTTAACCACTAGGTCTTTAATTTGTATAGAGTAACGTACATCAGATAGCTTAGTAACAGAGTCATATTACAGAAAAAGCAAGCATGTTCGGTGATGTGACTCTCGAGTCTAATATCTTAACCACCAGGTCATGTCAGGCCTTTTAATTTGTATAGAGTAACGTACCTCAGATAGTTTAATAACAGAGTCGTATTCCAGGAAGGGCGACAACACTGCGGTAGCATCAGTGATGAAGATGGTGGATTCATCCTCGGTTGTCTAGGTAACAGATAAATAAAGAGTAGAGTTTATACGTTCCCAAGTCGGATAATATTTTGATTATCGGGATATTTGTCATACGTCTGTTATCACAAACATAGTGACAAATTTTCTTTTTTTTTCTCGTTTAGTTACGATTGGAATTTTTATTTTGTTTTACATCATATTGTATTAATCAGAATGACTTACATTTTGCGTTTTAGAACAACATATAAAATTTCACCTAGATTAATAGAAATAATCAGTTAGTATAAGCAAGGAAACTATAAGCATAAAGTTATTGGTTTTTACCACAAAGCTACATAATGGCCTATTTGAGTTATATCTACTGCGGAGAATCGAATCCTGGATTTTAGCATTGTAAGACTAGAAACTTACCATTGACCCACCAGGGGATAGCAACAATAAGGTCTTATTCTTACCACAATAAGTAAAATCATATTATTGTAGTCTAATTTTACTGCACCAATCGAATATGATAATTGTTAAATATATTTTACTAATCAGATATCATAATAATTATTGAATAATTTTGTTGCACGAAACGGATATCATATTTCTTGTAGGATAAATTTACTATTCTAAACCGATATCGCACTAATTATTGTGAGGTAATTTTACTGTTCTAATTATTGTAGGGTACAAATATAATAAACTATTATCTTACCTCAACGCCATCTGTAACGTAAACTGTAAACCTGTACTCCATTTCCTGCAAAATACAAAATGGATAACAAGATGGATAAATAAATTACTAACTCCACTGCAGATGCTTGAAAACACTTTCCAAAATCTTAATTGTGAATTTCCATATGTTAACCCTCGGCTATTATTAAATACAAGTAATAAAAAACATTTTGTAAAGGTGAAATAATGTATGGATGGCAGTGCCAAATAGAATGCAAACAAGAATATAGAGATGATACAGCTATACATAGATACTACATGACTTTCAATATTAAAATTTATTATTACACTGTAAAATTCACGAGTACAAAATGGTTACGAGGTCGGTCAATTCGACCGATAAAGAAATTGTATACTAACAGTCTGGAATACATAACTTCCAACTGTAGTAATATTAAAGTCAAGTAGTGAATGCAGTCATTTTTTAAAGTAAAACTTTCTGTCATTGTTGAATTTTTAGCGTGATATTAGTATTATGTCTATTGAGTACCTTCGCCATCCTTACATATAGAGTCCACTAATTCTATGATATCTCACACAAAGTACCAATCTACATCCTTTAATAACAGCATTCTACTTACATCTATATCTGTCGTTATCTACATCCTTTAATAATAACATTCTACTTACATCTATATCTGTCGTTATCTACATCCTTTAATAGTTATGTGGTGTTTTGTTTTATAAAGAATATCTTTCAGAAAGTCACTGCT